CCCCCCCACAACACGTAGCACCTCCTACTAACCAGAAGATCAGTAGTGATCAGCACTCTGCTGGAGCCAGATCTGAACTCCCTCATAATCACATCACGCTCCTTCTGGTCCATATCACCATGCTGTGAAGGGAGAATGATTTTAGAAAGGAAGATGTGCAGCATTAACGCAGATCAGCCTCGACACGTCTCGATCCAACAGTTGTAGAACCAGAGCGAACAGATCTTACCAGAGCAGAGACTGTGAAGTCTCTAGCGTGCATCTTCTCAGTCAACCAGTCAACTTTTCTCCTGGTATTGAGGAAGATGACAGCCTGGGTGATTGTCAGTGTTTCATACAGATCACACAGGGTGTCCAGCTTCCACTCCTACAGACATCCATGAAAAACAAGACGTTATGCAGAGTAACACACTGTCAACTGAACTAAGTTAACCTGACCAGTCATATTGCAAACCTGCTACGAGACCACTCATCGAGGGTCTATAAACTCCATATAAAAATAAAGTCTAATGTGTAACACAGGATCTTGAGACGAAGGACACTGGACATTTAGAAAGAGGTCCCTCCAAGCCTCATTTGCGATACTGTGCCTTTGATCTCCTTCCCTGGTGTACCCATGCTTACACGGCCACATGAGCTAAACCTGTGCGGTCTGGCTCCTGCAGTTCCAGCAGGGTGCTTTATTGAGAAGGGACTTCACACTTTCATAGCAGTGAAAAGCAGCTTGCTAAAAATGTTACCAGGTGTCGTGTAAACCCACCTCTCGCTCTACATTTATGTAGAACTGCTTGATACCCTCGAGGGTAAGCTCTTCTTTCTTCACCAAGATGCGAATGGGGTCTCGCATGAACTTCTTGGTCACCTCCAACACCTCTGCTGGCATGGTGGCTGAGAGCAGGACCACCTGTAGTAGACAGTCACGTCACATACGTAAGATTAAAGACACTAAAACACCAAACAAACAAAAACACAGCACAGTGTTTCAACTGTAAAACCCTTAAAGGCAAACCCAGGTGTGGCACTGCACCTTGAGACAGAGGCCAACGAACATTAAGAAAGAGGTTCGACAACATCTCATTTTCAGTACAGTGCTCGATGATATGCTTCCACGTAATAGTCTGCTAGCATTATTGCGTGGAACAGATCAAATCTGGATCACACAATTATAGCAGACTTCTGTTATTGCAGAAGGGCGGTACAGCCAACCTATCGACTGAGTGTGTGCCTGAAATCTAAATATACTTACTTGAATGTTTGTGCTCAGTTTCTGGAAGATCTCATAGATCTGATCTTTGAACCCTCGGCTCAACATTTCATCAGCTTCGTCCAGAACAAACATCTTGATCCATTTTGGGGCTGCAAAGAAACGTGGGGTAAAAGTCAAACTTCAAGTTGGGAATTGAACTGCAACCATGTGATAATGATTCTGTTAAAACTGATACTTACACAAGTGTCCTCTAGTCAGCATGTCAAACACACGTCCTGGTGTGCCCACCACTATGTGAGGGGCCTCAGCCTGGAGCTTCTGTATTTCGCTACGGAGGTTGGTTCCTCCGATGCAGGCATGGCAGGCGGCCCCCATGTAGTCACCCAGAGCCAGAATGACCTTCTGGATCTAATGAGGGGAGATGGGAGCAAAGAAAAAACAAAGAAGAAGAAAGTCAGGATGATGTGGTAGGGATGGCAAGAAAGAGTAGAACAACTGTTCAAAGTGATCAGTAAGATAAAAAGATCTCTCCACTTCAAGAGTCAGTCCCGAAAGATGGTATGCCATCATATCACTCAGTTTTCCACAGCAAAATATGAATATTTAAAGCACAAATCAATCCAATGAAGCCAGATCACCTTTTAGACCAATGCAGCCATGGACAGAGACTACACCAATCCTAAGAGGATACTTTGTGTTTCACAATTTCAGAATTTTGACAGGATTTAAAAAAATGGTACCTTAGTACTTGAATCAGTCCTCAATGTGCTGTTTAGGTCTGAGACACTGAGGTTATCGTGACCTCAGGAACAGCATACCTGCTGAGCCAGCTCTCTGGTGGGAGCCAACACCAGAGCCTGAGTCTCCTTCTGCTCAATGTCCAGCTGCTGCAAGATAGAGATGGCAAACGTGGCCGTCTTGCCAGTGCCTGACTGGGCCTGGGCAATGACATCATAGCCTGAAGGCAAGGGGACAAATGAGAAGTTAGAAGAGAAGAAAATCACCTACATAAAGAAGTTTCATAGGATCGTGTCAAGTTAAATTGCCTCAGTTAACAAGAGACATGTGATATTACAGCATTGAGTGATCAGTAGAAACAAAGTTATCCCCATTATTGGGTAAGTCCCGAAAGATGGTAAAGCATCACTTCACTCAGAACAAACAACCCACTTGTCAGTAAAGTATGGTTTCTATGGTTTCTGTACCTTTGATGCAAGGAATGATCGCCCTTTGTTGAATGGCAGACGGCTTTTCAAAACCATACGCATATATTCCCCTGAGGAGAGTCTCCTTCAGGTTCATATCATCAAAGTTGTCCGTAATCTCGCTCCAGTTGCTCTGAATTTAAGAAACAGTGTCTTGTGAGTCAACGTCATTACACAAACTCCATATTAAAACTAACTACTGCAGTTTATTCGTGTACGCACCTCGATGACACCATCAGGCTCCATTCCATCTGGTCCCCCATGGTCTCTATCTTTTGAGCTGTTAAAAGAGGAGTGATACAGGTCAAATTCACTTTCAGGAGTCCGCTCTGACATTATAATCACCGTCAGAGGGTGGAGGAAGGTCTCGAGGGTGGACGTCAGCTACAACCAGCAGTCTTAACCCACCACGTGTCCTGAAGCTCGTGGTGGGGGGAGTGAAAAAGCCGCCTTTTTCACGTCGACTCACGATTATAACGTAAAACTACGTCAGATGTGTAGTGAGCGGGTCCTCGGTTGTCCGGGTTACGCCCAGAGTGTCTCATTACAGGCCGGGGCTGCGCCGGACGCACGTGTCAAATTGCACGAGCAGGGCTCCGCTACCTGCCGCTCCACAAACGACCGCTTATATAACCTCGGTGCCGGTTCAGACCGGCTCACAGGCCCGCCGGCGGCCCGGTCACCGTCCGTCTCTAAACGCGGTGAAGTCCCGTCTGTACACGTCGGGCGCATCTCAACATGGAGCTCTGCTTCACCTACAGTTAGCCAATATGTCGGACAGTTGGGCCTGCGCTACCAACGGTGGCTTCAGCTTCCTGAGAACTAGGCCGAGCTGAAGCCAGGCCAGGCGGCTGCTCGGACTTTGTGACAACCACCGACCACGGCAGCAAGAAACTGCTTCAGAGATACAACTGGGTCCTGATGAGTTTTATATGAAGACAGTATGAAAACAGAGCCTTTAAATCAAACCGGCCACTAACGGCCATTTGGAACTGCGGTGGCGCAACGGTGTCACAAAGCTAACTGTTAGCCACCACATCGCCCTCACAGCAGTTGGGGCCTAGAAAGATAGCTTTAAATCATAAAAATCCGCCATCATACAGAGTAGACACCAGCGTGATAAGCTTGTGTACGCCTATTAAACGAATATTGTTTCAAAAATGTGGCCAAATAGACGATTTTACCTGTTGTAATCAGCAGAATCGCTAGACATGATCCGTTCCCAACTTCAGCATGCGAATGGAAAGATCGCTGATGGCGACGCCAACTGCCTTTATGCAGCCGGACTACTTTCACTGATGAACTTAATGCTCCGTTTGGTTGTCAGTGCCGTCTCAGTTGACTGACTTAATGTTTGGATTACACTACATTTTATTATGCATCTTCTATATACAAATGTATATTTAAATATCCGATAAAAATGTGAAAAATGTTCCAGACTACATTTATCAGCGGAAGGATATTGCAGTAATAAGTAGTGCTTGGGCTGCTACAGCGTCTCTGATGGGTCAAAACTCGTTTGACAAGGTTGTGCAACATTTTTGGGAAGTGTTCGCGTGAGGCTGAAACACAATTATTGAACTAAAGTAAGAAGACAAATTACAGACTGAAGAGACGATTTGCAGCCAGTTAGTTGGCAGCTCTCTCTCTGTTTAATACTACAAACGTTACACTGTTGTTTGTGTGTTTCCCCTTTATGTGAAATGTTGAATTTAGTCAAGTCAACTTTATTGTCAGATGTGCTATACATGCACGACATTTAGCTCACTGTGTGACTCTCCAAGTTACGTCTGTGTCTGGTGACTTCGCTGTCTGGTCTCTGTTGCCATCATTTAATCATTGTGTTATATAAAAGAGTTGGCTTCTGAATTACTCGTGATATTTGGAGGACCTGCTCCCTCTGCTGTTTCAGAACCTGTTTAACAGAGGGTGTGTGTGCAGATTGTCCCCTCTACTGTTTTTGCCCCTAGATGTGAATGTACTTGATGTACAAGTTTAACACTTTTTAAAACTGAACTTGAAACTGAACATTTGATCCTTCCGCCCACAGCAAAGACAGTTCTGAGCAGTACAATGATCTGTTTCCTGTAGAGCTAAGTTTCATTTCCTGGAAAGTACAATTATGGGGTTGTCTTGTACTTTACTTCCAGTTTATGCTCCTAGAGATACTTATTACTGAAAGATAAAGTTATCATCCATATGAGCACCACATAGATTGCACTACCCAGCAGTATTAGCTCCACCTCTATCACAGTGTGCTTCTTTTAGATATGAATACAAAGGTAATAACTATCCTGTACTATAAAATATAAGTTTTATTTAATAAATAACACTAAAAACATCTGTTCTGCATTATGTATATTTTTAAATTTTGGATACTTATACCACTTTTGTATTTTTACTTAAATAACATTTTGAATGCTGCATCTTTGTAATGGTGTACATTTGAATTTAGGTAACTACTACTTTTACTATGTGAAATATGTGGCCTGTTTCCACAGCCTAATTAATCCTCAATCTTTCTGTATATCCCTACACAACCCTTCAACAAGAGCAGTTTTGTTTTTTTTGCACATAACAATAAACAGTTCAAGACACATTTCACCTTTATTCAAGTGTACAAAGATAGATTTTAAATGTGGAAGACAGACAATGACAATATTGTTTGAATTTGAAAAACATTCTCAGTGGAGTGTACTTGGACTCTAATGCACAATGGTGAAGTAGTTGGAGAAGAGTTCCTCCCCTGCTGTAATGTCTCTGAGTGACACAAGGACCACACAGCGCAGAGGCCTGTGTGTGTCCGGGCTGTAGTTGACATTAGGCAGATACTGGCGCAGCTCGATGGGGAACTGCTCCGGCACATCATACTCCTGATAGCACACGTTAGCAGGCCACTCATTGGAGCAGTTGTTCACGTACTGACCCACAGCAAGAGGGTTTCCTGGACTATCTGTCAGCCAGCTGGTGTCACTCATCATGTAAGGTCCTATTCTGTCCCTGCCACTGCATGACCTGAACACCATTCTGGAGATACCTTTGTCATTCCCATCAAGCAAGACACCATCAATACACCTGAACACAAACGGGTTTCTGATGGACTGGAGGAGAATTGGCTCATAGGCTTGATAGACAGTGCCAGGGTACATGGCAACTGTAGCTCCTCTGGGCACAAATCCTCTGGTGACAAACACTCCGGTCCCTGCAGAGGGCAAAGTGCTGGGCCTCCGGTCTATGCAGAATCCCAGAGACTGTACCATGGCATCATGTCCACACACTGGGTGTCCTCCACCAGCCTGGTCTTCACTGAGAAAGTGAGTTTGAGCAGCCCCATGATGAGCCCGCTGACTCCTGAGCAGGAGCCTGAAGAGCTCCAGCAGCCTCTGAGAGACCTCCTCGTCCGGGACCAGTTTGTCTTTCGAGCTCTCCTTCACCTGCCGCAGAGTTTTCTCATTTTTAGACAAGTTGAGTACAACCCAAGGCACGAACCTGTGTCTGTACGACCTCCACTTGTCCTGAAACCTCGTTAGAGCAGTTCTGAACATTCAGAGCACCGTCTATAGGTCGGACCTGTCGGACACAGAGGAGTTTTAGCCTGTTTTCACGAATCTCGAGTCACTTCCGCAAAGATGCTCCAAAATAAAACAGGACACGTGCAATATGTCCAATTCTTGTTACAGACCTCAAACTTTAATCAAGTGTTTTTTCCACTTTACGATAGATTGGTATAATGTGTTAGGTAATTAATATAAAATCAAATAATTTAACACTTTAGGATATGGCATACTCTAGATGGGACTAATGGTGTGCTTTTATTTTTTAAAAGCGATGCTTCAACCGGAAGAGCTTTTATTTTTACTTGAACAAACTTTACGCGCATTAGCCAGCTGGATGGGAGGAAAGGTAGTCAGGCAGAGACAAACATGGTAAGAAATGGCTGTTTTTATTCTGGTGCCGTGATGCAAACACAAACAGTGAACGCACACATAAACTATTGCTCCTGAGTGGTTATTGTAGTTCAGAAGTTGCGCTGATGACCTTATATTACCTTTATATCATGAAAAGAAACGTAGTTCTCGACGTTAGCATGAGCTAACTAGCGCACGGTGAGACGAGCCAGCTTCCCTGGTTAGCAGCTAAACTTGCTAGCCTGTAAGCCAATTGACAAACAAAATGATCTACAGCTGCAGCAGTGTGAGCTCTGGGCTGTTGTCCCCGAGATTTTATGACCAGGTCGCCTTTTCAATGTTATTATAAACGTAAAGATACCTACAGCTGACAGTCAATACATTGCAAGTCGGTCACTGCTGTCAGGTTAGCATGTGATTGCTAGTTGTGTTATTGGTGTTATTTAGAGGTGTTTAACCATGGTTCACTGTTTATGTTGCTAACCACTAGTCCACCCTTCCTTCGTGGGTATTATGGGACATTTTGGATCGTTAGATTGTTAGTGATATGCAGATTGTTGTTTTTAGCCACTGATAAATATACTTATTGCATTAAAGTTATTAAAATAGTGTTGGTTTTGCTTTACATTAGTCCCATTGTGTATTATTGCAACAACAGGTGTTTTCTGTGTTTTTGTGTCTTTGTGCAGAACAAGCTGAAGTCCTCACAGAAGGATAAAGTTCGTCAGTTCATGATTTTCACACAATCCAATGAGAAGACTGCGCTGACTTGTCTGTCACAGAATGACTGGAAACTAGATGTTGCCACCGACAAGTTTTTCCAAAATCCAGAGCTCTATGTTCCAAATCTAAAGGGGGCCTTAGACAAGAAGAAGCTCGAGCAGCTGTACAACAGATACAGAGGTATGGGAAGTCTTTTAACTGTGTGGAATAAAGCACCACTAATGCAGATTTTCTGTACCGTACAGGAATAAACCAACACAGAAAACATTATTAATAGTATTATTCATTGAAAATATTTTTCATTTGGCTGTGAATTAAATGTTAATCAAATCACTCTTCACACTCACAGATCCTCACGATGACAACAAGATCGGCATTGACGGGATCCAGCAGTTCTGTGATGACCTGACTCTGGACCCAGCCAGCATAAGTGTTCTCCTCATAGCCTGGAAGTTCAGGGCAGCAACACAGTGCGAGTTCTCAAAACAGGAGTTCATGGATGGCATGGCAGAACAGGGGTGAGAATGTATTTTCAGATGGTAAAAACAATCCTGTAACTTCTCCTCTGTTCTCGTGAAGACGTTAACATTATAAACTCACAGAACTACTATGATTGAAATGTGGATTTAAACTTAAAGCTCCAGCGTGGAATATTAATGTTCATAGATATGTTTTCATTATTAGAAATGAAAGGGTTTTGTTTTTTTTGCACATTTCACAGCCACTGTAGTTTCTCCTTTGCACTTGAGAGGGGAGGTGGAGCTACTGAGTAGCAATCTGCAGCTACACCGTTAGATGCTACTAAATATTACACACTGGAAGCTTTAAAAAGGATTGCTAAAAATAGTCTGTCAAAGAGCCATAAAAGAACTGTGGTACATACCTTTCAGTTGTGTGTCTAAAGTTCAAAGACTTCTTCGGGCTGTCGAAAATATAACATTTTCATTATATGATAATCTTGGTCAAAGTTATTAACAATAACGATATTGTGGTGATCTCTATAGGAAATTGTGAAAAAAAATGAATGCAGTCAAATTCATCTTTAATCTTGTCTTGTTTTGTTTTTGGCAGATTATTTACACTCAACTGTAATGCTGGCAACCAGCGTTAAGGTGCATTACTGCCACCCACTATGTTGAGTGTGAACCACAAAGCGAGAACAGAAAGAAATGGAAATAATTTAAGAGCCGCTGATTATTTACATCATATCATTATATGTGTATCATTAACACAATGTCAATAATTCATTTTCAAATATCACAATTATTGTCAGTATCAGAATATCACATCACCCCTATTTCACGTGTTATAGAGTGTTGTTTTTAAGAGTATTGACTTAATTGTGTTAAATGGCATTAATGCAGCCTTTGTAAACATTGGTACTTTAAAATAAAAATTCATAAAATTTAGCAGATAAAACGAATGAATGAATGAATACGTCAGGCTTGTTAATGTAGCAGAATAAGACAACTTCAGAGTGGTAATATTCTCTTTTCTTGTGGTTTTACCAGCTGGGAATGCTGCACTGGTTGTGGCACCTGGTATTAACACTCTTATGTACAGAAACTGTCATTTAGCTAATTGGAACACGTGGTTTAGGATTTGTATGAGGTGACAAAATAAAGGCAGATTCACCTGTCCATTTTTCATTCTTCAGACATTTACTGACCTCGCTCATCTATGACAAGAGGCAGTCGCAGCAGCCCTGCGTAGGTCAGGTGTACGTGACTTTTCAGCAATCAAGTGTCACCACTTCGACGTACTGCACAGATTGCTGACAGGTTAACATGCAACTTCCCAAGTAATAGCCAAGGGACATTGTTGAACATTTACTAATTGTTAAAAGAGATTAGAGAAAGAGAAATTAGAAAAGGCACTGTATCTGGCCCAGCGAGTACCACTGCTGTAGAGGAACCACGTTTTGTTTGGGAGATGTCAAATGTAGGGCAATCAGTTACATTTCTGTTGGACAAAGTTACAGTTATACGGTTCTGTACCCATCATTTTACTAATTGTTTAGTTTTGCCACGTTTTGTCCTGCAAAAATCAGCAGTCTGCTCTATGTTTCCTCAGGTGTGACAGCATAGAGAAGCTAAAAGCTCAGCTGCCAAAGATGGAGCAAGAGTTAAAGGACCAAGGGAAATTTAAGGACTTTTACCAGTTTACATTTAATTTTGCAAAGAATCCTGGCCAGAAAGGTTTGGGTAAGAATCTTTTAATACTCGTCATGTTAAACGGTTTGATTGTTTGTTGAATGTATATCAACTTATTTCTGGTTTCCTTACAGATTTAGAAATGGCAATTGCGTATTGGAATTTAGTACTGGCTGGAAGATTCAAGTTCCTGGACTTGTGGAACAAATTTTTAGTTGTAAGTTTGATAATCCCACTCAAGGTTACTCTAAAAATGCAAATATGATTACTTCTCATTGTGTTGCTTCAACTTTGCCCTACATCTTTTACAGGAGCACCACAAAAGATCAATTCCTAAGGACACTTGGAACCTCTTACTAGACTTCAGCACAATGATCACAGATGACATGTCGAATTATGATGAGGAAGGTTTGTACAGTATTTACACTCAGCTGAAAGTGAACCCTGCACAGCACCTGGAATTGTTCCCATTAGATTAAGTGCCTCTGCCCTGCTTCACACAGGCTTAGTGTGGGCTTACAGTTGTAAAATAGCACTTATCCATAGTCACATCTTAACCCGTGGTGGAGTCAATTCATGTTGTTTGTTTGTTGGTTCAACAGGAGCATGGCCTGTCCTTATTGATGACTTTGTGGAGTTTGCACGGCCACACATCGGGACCAAAAGCACAGCAGTTTAAGAGCTGCTCTCACAGAAGGAACATCCATGAGAGATTTCTACAAAACAGAGAGCGCAGTGAGCGGAGAACAAGGGGACCGCACTGAGCTAAGAACTATGTTGCCTTTTCAACCCTCAGGACTGAAATATTTTACACAGCAGAGACTTTATATGTGTGTGTTTATTTACATATATAAAAAAGGCATATCTCTTTGTTGGTCAACTTGTGGTGGTTTGGAACTTTTATCTAAAGTATTGGGCTTTTTGTGTGCGCTCAAGCCAATTGGAGAGGAGTCACCATATTGGCCCACATGGTTCATTGATGTGTTTGGGTTTCACTCAAAAGCAGGTAGATAGACACACTTTTGAATTGTAATCTAAACACGAGGGTTCGCTAGGGGACGTTGTTCTTTAAATATTGAATTTTAATACTCTTGTGTGAATTCCTAATTTTTGTTTTGTTTTATGATGCATTTGTGCGACAAGTCAGTAAACAACGTTGATTGTAATTTTTTAAGCATAATGCTGTTTGTTTAAACACAAATGTATAAAGATAAAATAAATGTTTCAATTTGGTATCTTTAACACTGCCAGGCCTCTGTGCGTTTCTGTGTAAAAGAAATGAATAGCTCAATGTTAATATAAGTTATTCCTGAATACTAAAGGTTATAATTTATACTAATACTTTACAGCTGAAGTATGTTTTGAATTAAATTAGGTTAAATGTCATAAAAAATGTAATGAATGAAAAATGTAGCTCATGGTTTATGATAATTTGCCTGTTAGAATTTTGTGTCAACTTGGAGAAGTCTGTGTAACTGAATTTTAAGCTGAATGTAGACACAGGTCTTGCATACAGAACCAAAGAAGTACCTTAAATTGTATATCCATTGAAGGGTACACTACACTGAGTCCTTATTATAATTAATAAGTTA